CAGCAGGCAGGAATGGAAAAGGATACAACAGCAGGCAGGAATGGAAATGGATATAGCAACGGACAGGAATGGAAAAGGATATAGCAGCAGGCAGGAATGGAAAAGGATATAGCAGAAGACAGGAATGGAAAAGGATATAGCAGCAGGCAGGAATGGAAAAGGATATAGCAGCAGGCAGGAATGGAAAAGGATATACCAGAGGACAGGAATGGAAAAGAATATAGCAGAGGACAGGAATGGAAATGGATATAGCAGAGGACAGGAATGGAAAAGGATATAACAGCAGGAAGGAATGGAAAAGGATATAGCAGCAGACAGGAATGGAAAAGGATATTGCAGCAGGCAGGAATAGAAAAGGATATAGCAGGAGGCAGGAATGGAAAAGGATATAGCCACAGGCAGGAATGGGAAAGGATATAGCAGCAGGCAGGAATGGAAAAGAATATAGCAGCAGGCAGGAATGGAAAAGGATACAACAGCAGGCAGGAATGGAAATGGATATAGCAACGGACAGGAATGGAAAAGGATATAGCAGCAGGCAGGAATGGAAAAGGATATAGCAGAAGACAGGAATGGAAAAGGATATAGCAGCAGGCAGGAATGGAAAAGGATATAACAGCAGACAGGAATGGAAAAGGATATAGCAGCAGGCAGGAATGGAAAAGGATATAGCAGAGGACAGGAATGGAAAAGGATATAGCAGCAGACAGGAATGGAAAAGGATATAGCAGGCAGGAATGGAAAAGGATATAACAGCAGGAAGGAATGGAAACGGATATAGCAGCAGGCAGGAATGGAAAAGGATATTGCAGCAGGCAGGAATAGAAAAGGATATAGCAGCAGGCAGGAATAGAAAAGGATATAACAGCAGGAAGGAATGGAAACGGATATAGCAGCAGGCAGGAATGGAAAAGGATATAGCCACAGGCAGGAATGGAAAAGGATATAGCAGCAGGGAGGAATGGAAAAGAATATAGCAGTAGGCAGGAATGGAAAAGGATATAGCAGAGGACAGGAATGGAAATGGATATTGCAGCAGGCAGGAATAGAAAAGGATATAGCAGGAGGCAGGAATGGAAAAGGATATAGCCACAGGCAGGAATGGAAAAGGATATAGCAGCAGGCAGGAATGGAAAAGAATATAGCAGCAGGCAGGAATGGAAAAGGATACAACAGCAGGCAGGAATGGAAATGGATATAGCAACGGACAGGAATGGAAAAGGATATAGCAGCAGGCAGGAATGGAAAAGGATATAGCAGAAGACAGGAATGGAAAAGGATATAGCAGCAGGCAGGAATGGAAAAGGATATAGCAGCAGGCAGGAATGGAAAAGGATATACCAGAGGACAGGAATGGAAAAGAATATAGCAGAGGACAGGAATGGAAATGGATATAGCAGAGGACAGGAATGGAAAAGGATATAACAGCAGGAAGGAATGGAAAAGGATATAGCAGCAGACAGGAATGGAAAAGGATATTGCAGCAGGCAGGAATAGAAAAGGATATAGCAGGAGGCAGGAATGGAAAAGGATATAGCCACAGGCAGGAATGGGAAAGGATATAGCAGCAGGCAGGAATGGAAAAGAATATAGCAGCAGGCAGGAATGGAAAAGGATACAACAGCAGGCAGGAATGGAAATGGATATAGCAACGGACAGGAATGGAAAAGGATATAGCAGCAGGCAGGAATGGAAAAGGATATAGCAGAAGACAGGAATGGAAAAGGATATAGCAGCAGGCAGGAATGGAAAAGGATATAACAGCAGACAGGAATGGAAAAGGATATAGCAGCAGGCAGGAATGGAAAAGGATATAGCAGAGGACAGGAATGGAAAAGGATATAGCAGCAGACAGGAATGGAAAAGGATATAGCAGGCAGGAATGGAAAAGGATATAACAGCAGGAAGGAATGGAAACGGATATAGCAGCAGGCAGGAATGGAAAAGGATATTGCAGCAGGCAGGAATAGAAAAGGATATAGCAGCAGGCAGGAATAGAAAAGGATATAACAGCAGGAAGGAATGGAAACGGATATAGCAGCAGGCAGGAATGGAAAAGGATATAGCCACAGGCAGGAATGGAAAAGGATATAGCAGGCAGGAATGGAAAAGGATATAGCAGCAGGCAGGAATGGAAAAGGATATAACAGCAGGCAGGAATGGAAATGGATATTGCAGGCAGGAATGGAAAAGGATACAAAAGCAGGCAGGAATGGAAAAGGATATAGCAGCAGGCAGGAATGGAAAAGGATACAACAGCAGGCAGGAATGGAAAAGGATATAGCAGGCAGGAATGGAAAAAGATATAGCAGCAGACAGGAATGGAAAAGAATATAGCAGCAGGCAGGAATGGAAAAGGATATAACAGCAGGCAGGAATGGAAAAGGATATAGCAGGCAGGAATGGAAAAGAATATAACAGCAGGCAGGAATGAAAACGGATATAGCAGCAGGCAGGAATGGAAAAGGATACAAAAGCAGGCAGGAATGGAAAAGGATATTGCAGCAGGAAGGAATGGAAAAGGATATAGCAGCAGGCAGGAATGGAAAAGGATATACCAGAGGACAGGAATGGAAAAGGATATAGCAGAGGACAGGAATGGAAATGGATATAGCAGAGGACAGGAATGGAAAAGGATATAGCAGAGGACAGGAATGGAAAAGGATAAAGCAGAGGACAGGAATGGAAAAGGATATAGCAGCAGGCAGGAATGGAAAAGGATATAACAGCAGGCAGGAATGGAAAAGGATATAGCAGGCAGGAATGGAAAAGGTTATAACAGCAGACAGGAATGGAAAAGGATATAGCAGGCAGGAATGGAAAAGAATATAACAGCAGGCAGGAATGAAAACGGATATAGCAGCAGGCAGGAATGGAAAAGGATACAAAAGCAGGCAGGAATGGAAAAGGATATTGCAGCAGGCAGGAATGGAAAAGGATATAGCAGCAGGCAGGAATGGAAAAGGATATACCAGAGGACAGGAATGGAAAAGGATATAGCAGAGGACACGAATGGAAATGGATATAGCAGAGGACAGGAATGGAAAAGGATATAGCAGAGGACAGGAATGGAAAAGGATATAGCAGCAGGCAGGAATAGAAAAGGATATAGCAGCAGGCAGGAATGGAAAAGGATATAGCCACAGGCAGGAATGGAAAAGGATATAGCAGCAGGGGGGAATGGAAAAGAATATAGCAGCAGGCAGGAATGGAAAAGGATATAACAGCAGGCAGGAATGGAAAAGGATATAGCAGCAGGCAGGAATGGAAAAGGATACAACAGCAGGCAGGAATGGAAAAGGATATAGCAGCAGGCAGGAATGGAAAAGGATACAACAGCAGGCAGGAATGGAAAAGGATATAGCAGGCAGGAATGGAAAAAGATATAGCAGCAGACAGGAATGGAAAAGGATATAGCAGCAGGCAGGAATGGAAAAGGATATAACAGCAGGCAGGAATGGAAAAGGATATACCAGAGGACAGGAATGGAAAAGGATATAGCAGCAGGCAGGAATGGAAAAGGATATAACAGCAGGCAGGAATGGAAAAGGATATAGCAGTGAATGTAAATGTTATCTGAGATCTCACTAAAGAACAGCATCAGAAAACCAATGAATGTGCAAGATTTGGCATGTTTAAGGATTTTATACATACTGATGTTTACTAATGGCAAAACTTGTGTTCCAATACACTATATTCAAACTAACAGCACTGTCAGGGGATAAGCTAAAGGCATTTCAATAGGTCTCTTCAAGTGATGGTAAATATTCATTGTGTGACCAATTTGTCTACTTAGGCATCACACAGATCAAAGTGTACATGTAAAAAGGTAATAGAAAGCTGAGAGTATTGATCTAAGTGACGAAGATCAGCATCACATACATACCTAGAGGATCAAACCACCACTTAATGGAAAATGAGAAAGGAATCCATCAGATTCTCACTCAGGGATTTGTGTGTCTTAAAGGAAAAGCAGTATTCTACAGAAATATGGTATCTTGTATACGTAGGATCTTACTGGCTTTTCTATCTGGTATGTAGTTATGAAGGAATCTTAAGAAATTTTCATTCCATTGAGCCTTTTGAGAGTTGCGACAAAAAATTATGACAAGTTTTATGAATAACATAGCGAATGAACAGGAAGTTAAGATAATTTGTTTCACATGATCGATTATCATTGTAAAAATACTGTAAAAAACAGACATTTCCCCGTCAACCATGAAGCTGATTTGATTCTGTATCAATAGTCTTCATTGTTATGTCACAATGACATTAGTGAATGTGTGATGCCCTTCAATATCTAAACCTGCAATACGAGTGGGGGACAGGAAATGAAGGGGATATCATAGAAGCAGAGAGGAACTGCTGAGGATTTGAATTATCCATTATTAATGATATAGTGTTCAATGGAACAAAACCAATTTGGCACAAGTAAATGTACATCACATGTTATTACAGAGATACAACTGTGTAAAGTTTTCTATTGCAGTCTATTCTCTAAAAGTTACCGCTGACAATCAACTTCAAGGATTGGCAGATGTACATTAAACATAATCAGGAGTGGAGCAAACAAACAGCCACTAAATAGCTAACAGTTACTCCATATGAACAAGTGTGTGGTTAGGTATCTCAAAAGCCCTTATTACAAAAGGCTTAATCATAGTGAAAAACCAAGATCAAACACTACAAACAAGTGTTTATATTTTGGGAAGCTTTATGCCACCAGGAAATGAAGAGGCCAGAAAGCTAAAATATCGGCCATTTCAGATTTCATGTTAGATTGAGAAAATGAAACAAATTACAGGTCAAATGATAAACAGACTCTTAAACTGCACTCTGTTCCATTTCATTCACAATGTGTATGTGAGTATCACATTTTTTCTACTTTGCAATTGACTCATTACAATGTATGTTACTACTGGATTTATGATCTCGTGAAATAGATAACAATGTAAGATCCTCTTGTCATTAGATCTGGGGTAGAATCTTGTGTTACTCACCACGATTCTGGCACATGTGAGGACAGGATGTCGGCATGATGGAAACCTATAACAGAAGTTACAGCCATGTTATCACCATATGTTTATATCAATCATTACAGCAAATTTAAAAGTTTAAATCAATGGTCTTCTGCCTGATTTTACAGCACCTTGTGTCTGTATCAATCTGAAAGAAATATAGATAGGTTTTATAATGGACCCACTAGGTCTGCATCTTTCACCTGGTATTCATTGTTCATCAGAAAGTGGATTGGTATTAACCAAATATATTGACTTGTACACCAATTTCAACAAACAGCTTCTACTAATACTCAACTCTCTAAACAGTGACAAGTTTTCAACTGGGTTATAGATAAATGCCATTTCTTTTTTTCTCAAATTTTTTTGAGGATTTCACCTAGAAAAACTTTTCAACCAAATATCCTGCTTCTTGGACTTTTGGTTTACCAGAAGGAGTCTATTACAGATTTCAATAAATTTGATCCCTTTGACCTTCGATATGAGTCAAGGTCATTTCTTTTCACAAATATTGTCGGTATCATCCTTGGAACCCAACAGACGAATTTCATGCTTCTCACCTTTTGATTAGTCAGAAGTCAAATAAAGGTTTAAAAAAAATTGACACCTGTGACCTTGAATTTGGGTCAAGGTCATTTCTTTTCACAAAATTTGTCAAGCTTCATCCAAGAAATGCCAAATACTATGCTGCTGCATCTTCTGGTTCAGCAGAAGATGTTTAAATGTTTTAACAAATTTGATCCCTGTGAATAGGAGTTTTGGTAAGTTCTTTTCACACACTTTGTTCATCGCCATCCAAGGAACCTAAAAAAGGTTTTAACAAATTCAGCCATTGTGGCCTTGAATAAGGGTCAACATTATATCTTTTTGCAAAATTTGTTGGGCTTCATCCTAGCAACGAACCAGCCAAATACCATGACATCTGGTCTGATGTTTTTGTAGAAGTATTCATTTAAATGGCAAATGGATGATAGACCCCGCACTGGGGCATAAGCTCACTTTGCCCGTTGGATCAGGAGAGCTCAAAACCGGGAAGATATTCCTGATATTTCATTGACTTTGGATGGAAGAATAACGCTTTTCACTTATCAACACTCTGCTTTTAGATTGTTAATATGGTAAAAAAAAGTCACTGTTAAGGATGGTCTTTGTGTAGGTTTTATTTCTATAGCAACATAAAGGATAACAAGCTAGATTCAATCATCAGATCTTCATGTTTAAGGAGGCAAAAAACTTTTATGACACTGAGCAGAGCAATTATAGAAGGACTACACTGGGTTTCAAACCCAGAACCTTAATCTGATACTCTAGTACAAAGCTTTCTTTTCAACTGAACTATCTCATCTACCCACCAGTCTGGCTAACAAATCCACTGGAAATCTCAAATAGAATTTTTATGCTACAGATGATGCAGTTATAACTACAAGCACATAAACACAGAGGTAACTGGATTTGCAATAGCAGCAAAATGAGATTTAGGTAAATAAAATGTGTCCTTGTGCAATATATATGGGTAATACAACATTAGTATAGGAATGGATTTCAATGAGGTGGTGCATACATCAATTTCAAATTTTGTAAATCATTTTATTCAAATTGAAAATATTCTTTAAGAATAATATAAGGCTTTAAATTTAAACTCCATTATTCCTGAATGCAAATTAGGCATCGTCAACAGAGTGAAATGAAATCCTATTTTTAAAGAGGAATTACCTAAGAAAAGGTCACTTTTTAATTAAACGTATTTTGCATGCTACAGCACAAGCATGCAGACAAATGAGATTAGTCACCCTGGGCCTATAGTCAAGAGAAAGGCTCAGTCCTGCTTCAGATTTCACTCACCAATGGGATATTTGTTTACTTAGACAAAACAGAATGGAAAATATTTCAATTATTTATTAAATATTCTATCTCGAAGTTGTTTGGTAATTCTAATAAATTTTCCTTCCATAATACAGTAAAAATGCTACTGATCTTTCACTAAGAAAACAGATAAATGAAGTTTGTATTAGCTTTACAGAAAGAGTGGTAGACTGGGCCCTTGGGATCTTGGGGTGTCAGTGACAACTCTTGCGATGATACGGAGATTTAAAACACACAAGAAATATCAAAGATGCAACAAGAAATCTCAAACACACAACAAGAAATCTCCAACACACAACAAGAAATCTCAAACACACAACAAGGAATCTCAAATACACGCCAAGAAATCTCAAACACACACCAAGAAATCTCAAACACACAACAAGAAATCTCAAACACACAACAAGAAATCTCAAACACACAACAAGAAATCTCAAACACACAACAAGAAATCTCAAACACACAACAAGAAATCTCAAACATATGCCAAGAAATCTCAAACACACAACAAGGAATCTCAAACACACAATAAGAAATCTCAAACACACAACAAAAAATCTCAAACACACAACAAGAAATCTCAAACACACAACAAGAAATCTCAAACACACAACAAGGAATCTCAAACACACGCCAAGAAATCTCAAACACACAACAAGAAATCTCAAACACACAACAAGGAATCTCAAACACACAACAAGAAATCTCCAACACACAACAAGAAATCTCAAACACACAACAAGGAATCTCAAACACACAACAAGAAATCTCAAACACACAACAAGGAATCTCCAACACACGCAAAGAAATCTCCAACACATGCCAAGAAATCTCAAACACACGCCAAGAAATCTCGTAAACACACAACAAGAAATCTCAAACACACTACAAGGAGTCACAAACCAAGAAATCTCAAACACACAACAAAAAATCTCAAACACACAACAAGAAATCTCAAACACACAACAAGAAATCTCAAACACACAACAAGAAATCTCAAACACACAACAAGAAATCTCAAACACACAACAAGAAATCTCAAACACACAACAAGAAATCTCAAACACAACACACAACAAACACACAAAATCTCACACACACACACACAAGAAATCTCAAACACACAACATGAAATCTCAAACACACAACAAGGAATCTCAAACACACAATAAGAAATCTCAAACACACAACAAAAAATCTCAAACACACAACAAGAAATCTCAAACACACAACATGAAATCTCAAACACACACCAAGAAATCTCCAACACACAACAAGGAATCTCAAACACACAACAAGAAATCTCAAACACACAACAATTCACCTCAAATACCAAACAAAAAATCTCAAACACAATAAAAGAAATATCACATGTTACTATGGGTACAGCAAATATGTATTTTGATACTGTTGTTTCCCCTTATTGCACACAAAAGGAAGTCTACAAGTCTGATGGGTAAGCCATATCCCATATCAGTTTTTTTCCCTGGAGATAAAGTGGTGTTTACAATACAATATATACTGACTATTGGAACATATTTAACACCTATGATACATCACTGGTATATAAACTAAGGGTGGAAAATTTCACGGCATTGGATATCGGGATTCTGATCAAGTACAACAGAGACAAGAAAATACATTTGTATTTGCTGCTAAACCAATTCTATTCAACCTCTAGTTATGCTAAAATGGTGAAGCATTATCTAATCACTGTAATGTCATTTGCAATTTAAACTACAAGCTTAATTCTCATTGATGGAGACTTTTTACAGTGACTGACTTAATAGCACAATTTATTCTCTCAAATAATTTCATTTTAAGGCACTCACTAAATGCTAGTTTGCACTGACTGTCATGTCATAAATAACTTAATTATAAGGTTATACTGGAAGGAGGAATTATCCATATAGATCAGGTCTTTAACCTAACAGACACAGTTTAGATTTTTAACGCAGAATTTAGAACTAAGAACAATGTATTGAAAAGCGACAGATCAACCGAAAGTGAGAAAATGAACAGAAACACATATTCTTTTTATAGTGACAGTGACCTTGACCTTTTTTACTCTGGACCAGATAAGTAATCCCGAGCAAGCACTGTCTTTGAGGAAGTGTAAGGGATAATGATTTATACATGTTCCAAAATGTTGGAATTTAAAAAGGCAAAATAGAGGGCAGTCCCTATATGTTGAATTTACCTATTTTAATGGGACATATTAAAAAGTTTCTTTGTTTTCAGGACTTATAGGGTAGGTTTATCACTAATGGAATGGAGTTCGAGAGAAGTGGACTGAACAGAACATGAGATCATTTAAGGAAACTGATTTTCTAGGCAGGGATCATAGTTACTCTCTTAATGTCCCTTTATCCTTGACAAATGTCAACCAAAAATCTAATCATATCTAGAACTTGATCTGTTAATACTGTAATAGATAAAGAAGTAGTAATGAAAAAATCAATGTTTGGGGGCTCAAACTTTTTATTATTCCTAATGAACATTCCATGGAAGATTTTAAAGAATTGTATTCATGCAGTCTTTAATAATGGTCTATATCATTAATTTAGAATTTCCAATCCTACAGTTTCCAATATTTTACTCAAGGAGGTTAGTAAACATTTGTATTGTGTAGTTTAATGCATTGAGGCTTGTAGAATCACCGACAAGTCAGAAGAAAATGTGATGACTGTAGGTTTCTTTAACTAAACCGACTCTCCAACATTTTAAAGCATAATCCATGTAACTTTGATTGGGAGTTGAGGTCATTTATTTAAGTCAAATAAAAGGGATCTAGGCCTCGTAAATATTCAGAAGAAATCATTTCAATGTTTCCGATTAATAAAATTTTCATAGAAAAAAAAGGTGAAATTAAGTATTGTACTGTATTGTATAAAATGTATGGACATTCATATTTTTCATAATTTTTTAATGAAAATATTTAAAATATTTATCAAAATAAAATCAAAGGTGTAAAGTTGTCAACAAAATAAATAATACTATCCAACTAATGTGGTAGCTAGGTGCCTTTTAAAATAAACTTTCACTTTGTACTTGTCGTGTGAAAATCAACACGTTTAATGCCTATTAAGCAGCCTTTTGAGAACATGGTGTGATAGCTAAACCTATTGCTAAATCAATGTTCACCACAAGTCACCACTCTAGTCC